TTCATTTTTGAAAAAATGGTTTGGATGTTGCTTCAGGCGCTCATTACGCAGTGACAGGACGGGTTCATGCATACAAATGACTGGCTGCTAAAGTTTACCTCTGGGCATGCAGATCAGCAAATCTCAAGAGTATCCATAGCAAGGGAAGTTGCTGAAAGTAAAGACAAAAACAACATATTACAAAGAATGTAAAGGTCTCCTATTATGCTATTTGTAGGCTTATATTATGGGTCTCAGATATATAAAATATATAAAAAACATATTTATGATGTGTTTTGCTCAAAATACCAAACAGATCATGCATTTTAGACATCCATCATATCCCTCTGTTCCAGTCCTGGGCTGCAGTCGAATAGTCCAAAAAATCAGCTACTATCGTCTATTCCTATCGTCTATTCCTTGACCTCTGTGTGAAACGTAACGGGGTTAGTGGATAGTGGATAGGAGGATTCAAAAGGATTTAGGAGAAGAGACTGCGGTGCTTTGAGAATCGATTGCACTTTCACTATCAACGCATTTATGATGCACCAGCGGACGCCATGAATGTGCGTCTGCTGCTGTGGGGAAACTACAGTTTTCTATACAGCGGACTACAACATGGATGTTTAATAAGAACGAGGGACTACTGTAAACTCATCTAGAGACTCTGCACCGTGCTCTGATGCTGTTGTTTTATGCTTTATGAACGGGGACAACAGAGAAACATATTCTTCATGACCAAAGTTGGAATTGAAATAAAAAATGAAAGTGAAACTTATGCTCGTCACCCTCTCCCTCCGGGCCACATTAATACAAATGATCCCAATACGTATGATTGTATGAACTTTGAAAAGATCTTAAAATCAATACAAATGTATTTATTATAAGCACCGTAACTTTCATGATATAATTTCTCCGTCATAATCGGTTGTTTCCGTGAACGTTAATGTTGTGTGACGGAAAATGCTGCGGCCGCAAGGTATTGTGGGACAGCATTTTCTCCTTTCCTTTCGTAAAGGGAGGTCCAGTGGTTCCTAAGCTAAAGGAGGTTATAAATGAAGTTTCAAACCTCCTTTCCTATAAATTCTAACGGCTCTTATCATGGCTGCCACTGAGGTACTTCCGGGTCATTTCATTCCGTTAGGAAGGTTCCTAAGCTACACTGACAATTCGACTGCAGCCCTGTTAGAGAACTGCTGATTGGGGTCCTTAGCTTGAAAAAAAAGAGGAGGGGGAGCTAATGCCTGCTCCAAATTCAACGAGATTATCAGCTAAATGCTGCCGTGATTAAACGCCATATCATGTTCCAAACCACATTAAGGATTATTCCTGAAACAGTATGGAGCTCAAATGCTTTTTCTCTTCCGGGTTTACCACAAGGTGAGTACCTTTTTTTATTTCCTGCTTTTTTACACATACTCTCTCCAGTACAGGTTAGCTCTGAGTGTTAGCGATGCTTGCTAATGTAAACAAAGACCATATTACGTCCAAAACAGTCGGGCATTGTTTCTGATAGCAACGTTTCTGATAGGGCCGTGGGTGTAAAGCCACCCCACATTTCCAATATTACGTTATATCGGACGCAAATCTGGATCAGCTCCGTTGTATCCCTGTTTTTAGAGATTTGGGTACGGAGGAAAAGAGAGAGGGTTTTGTTTTCTGACACTTTGTGAGTTCCCTGGCACACCGGGGACACATATGTATAAAATACATCAAAAAATGCATTTAGCTATAGGTCCCCTTTAATGGTGGCCTAAACCCAGCATGCTGTTATTCCTAAGAGCAGAAACAAAGGGGCTACATGCAGTCAATATAATGTCCACATGTGTGGTCATAAGAATGGTTGTTTAAAGGAAAGTGAAGCAATTGTGTAATGAAACAATATGGTGTTGTGCCTCCTTGTGTATCTTTTCTATTTCTCACTTTATTTGTATCCAGCTGCCTTAGACTTTAATCTGAAACAAAGCAGCACTTTAAATTCTAACTGTGTTTTTGGAAAGCTAAGAAGCATTACTGCAGACATTTTAGCTTTTTATCAATACATTTCCTCTCTCGTCTCTTTCCTATCTTACCTCGCTATGCATTTTTTTTGTTGTAATTTGTATCCTCATCTTAAAATAAATCTTATCATGGGGAAATATTACCAATCAAATGCTGACATCTTCCAAACTCTGACTAACTTTAACTTCAGCTTGAAGTCTCTCTCTGTTGTTCTGTCACCTACACAATCGCTCCCTATTATTCTGGGCTGTGGGCGCCCTGGCATCATAATTAGGTTGCATTGATCGGGGACACTGTAACCAGATTGATGAAAACCAGCTTTGACAACTCCAATCCAGCCAGCGAACATCATCTGGTCCACATGGACAATAAACCACCAGCGATCACACTGAATCTGCTCTCGATAGGAGTAGCTCACTTTGGGTGTAATTAAGCTTCTAATATGATTAAATATCTTTCTTTTGAATCCCTGTCCCCACCCACCGGTACAGCAATGGGCTCTGGGTAAATGTTCATTAGTCTTTCTAATTGGCTGATGATAGACTATCTGGATGAGATATTAAGGTTAGGAGGTTACCTGCCAGGAGAAGCAAGAGAGCTTCTGGCTTCATATTTAATTGCATTAATATTAATGAAGATATTGTTTTTCTGTCTCTAGAGTAATTAAAAGGAAGATATACACAATGTCTTTGTATCCAGCTAGGTCACAAGTGCACATGTTTTTAAATTAAGAATACGGTCTCATTATGATGCCTGTGTCAATGGGACAAAAAACCCTACAAGCTGCAAAGTGAAGCTGGAAATGTCCGAAATCCCTCACTACTACTCACGTCAACAACGAAATAGGAATTGTCTGTAGAGTTTGCAAATAAATTGATATTGTTTTGCACTCATACACTTAGATCTGTCATACAGTTCCTTCCAAACCTTTAAATGAGCACATTGAGGATGACTATTAGGTAACTTTATAAACTGATTGCTGATGCTGGCATGACTGTATTTGTCGTCCTACATTTTCAGGATCTTTGCCAGCTGCCATTGCTCGTTTCATTTTCCAAAACTCCACGAGCCCTTTCACTGATCAGGCCCCTTTCTGTTGGGGAAATACCATGGTAACAGTTTTGGCAAGAGCTGACCTCGGCTATCGCAACAAACACATACACTCAAAGCACAAACACACACACACTTTCTGCTGCAAGTGTTCCCCACCAGAGTTGGCGATTGACATATCCCCCATGGCCCCAGGGCCTCACTAGTCAGAACTGAAAAGTAATCAAAGCAGACACACAGGTCGAACTTTATTATCAAGAACTCGATAGCAGTTGTAGGAACAACCACAGCTCCTCCAATATACAGTAAACAGGACGTGCAAAATCTAAAAGGGCTTTTCAGGCAGCAGACACATTTTGGCTTCCCTCAAGCCTGGAAGCTTTTCACAGCTGACTCAAAGATGATCTTTTTTCTTTTTGGATGATAAATTGAGGTTTAATGACTTGGTGCCGCTGTATGAACCAAAGCTGATGACCTGACAGAGGACTTGGAAATATCTCAGGTATGATTCACCTTATTCCCCTTCCTTTGTCCTTTACAACTGTCCCTCATCAAGTAAGTTAAGTTGTTTTTTGTCCATAAATCAGAGATTAACAACGTTTTTTGTAGTTAAATGAACAGATACTTTTATCAAATAAATGAATACATTAGAATACTTTAACTTTGTTAGTAAAGGTTGAGAGGAACAAATCGTTTGAAAGGCATTGTGAAAAATGTCATCTGTCAAGTCTCCGCAGACAGAAATCAGCAGGATTTACTTTCAATCGAAATGCATGACATTGTCAAAGGGAATCTGTGATGTGTTTGGTGTTTGGTAATGATGTGCTTTTCAATCTGATACTCACCTTGACAACTATTTAAAAAAGTAAACTTTTGATCATTTCACAGTATTGTGCTCGATTGAAGTTCATTACTTTTACACAGTATGGGGGATATAACACATTGCACACGGGAGATAATAGTTTTGATCATGGTTTATTTTTTGTATACATCACGGTAACTGTTACTGTTACTACTTTTTATAATACATTGGACCTTATATGAATAATCTGTGTCAATTGCATAAAGTACACTCTGCCAATAATTCATTTAATCAACAGCATCAAAGTCTAAAAGGCATGAATGATGCATCTGTTAAATTATGCAACGTTTTCTCATCATAATAAATTAATTGTACATGAATATACATTGAATGCTTTGAATTTAACAACACAATGAATGAAGCAATAAAAAGCACAGAAAATTAAGTACAGCAGGCGTAATGAATCAGTCCAACATGGTTGATATGCAGAAAAGTAATACAATGAAAAAGCTCAGCGTGATACTGCTGATTCGGAGCTCTTTGGTCTTTTAGGGATTCCAACTGGTTCTTGATGGAGTGATTTGTTAAACTTTCTGGGTCAATCAATATTTGTAATTATGAACAACTTCCTCCGAATGAACTTCCACACCATCTGATTATTGAATAGGCAGTAAATGGCTTTATAACTATAGAAAAAGACTTGACTCAGCTGTTGCAATACCGTTTGAACTTTACTGGCGTAGTCAGTAAAATTTAAGATGTAAATGTTCTCAAGTATGATCTGGATTGCACCACTGCTCATATCAGGCCAATGGTGCTCGTGCTATGATTTTTTAGCTTGGTTTGCAGACATCCATAAATCAAATTATAACCTTCATTCAGGATTACCAAAGTTCATAAAAGGGCTGTAAAACACCTTCTAAATGCCTCAGTAAATTGTAATTTAAGGACTGTTCCCCTTCTTTAACAGTCAATCACAGCAAAAGTGTTCAATATTGCCTATGAATAATTCACATAACACCTCTGAACTGTTGTATTTTCGCTCTCTTTACAGCTTTTCTACACATTCAGTGCCGGCACATTGTCCTCAATCTGTCAAGTGGAGAACCAAACTCAGTGTGAAAGGCACAGCCGGACAGTAACAGACTGTTATTCGTCACCATTACAGGCCGTGTGGACCGCGTGATTTACTGACCCCACTGGTCTGTAGTGGTTCCACCATGGGGAAGACTGGGAAGAGTACAGTGGACTTAAACTCCCCAACAGAGGTCAAACAAGCAGTTCCCTTTGAGGAGCTGGATATTGTGGCGCCCCCTGGTGATGAAAAGAAGGAAAAAGAAGAGCCACCTGACAGGGGAAGCTGGAAGGGAAAGTTTGATTTCCTCCTGTCATGTGTGGGATACGCCATAGGCCTAGGAAATGTCTGGAGGTTCCCTTATCTTTGTGGCAAGAATGGAGGAGGTATGTGCTATCGTGAGACTGAGGGAACCAAAATATCTTAAGTCAGTTTAAGGTTAATTCTGATAAGATACTCAATACTTTGAAAGCACACGTATTTAATGTTAGGGATGAAAATAATTGTATTGAGATGTGTTGAGTAGTACACCCAAAGCCACAACAGTTATACATACAAAGTAAAATGTGACAGCAGTGTCAAATCCTACGGAAGCCCTGTTGTTATGTTATGTTGGTTTTGACCCAACACTACTATGCCCACCATGAGCCCCATATGGGCATGCTACCCAATTACAACCAGCTAGCATTGCTGCTAAAGCCGATTAGACAATTAGTTAGTCAGCTACTTAATTGTAGCTAGCAATAGCAACAAGTATTTTCATATCTACCGCACCAAGTAAGGCTAACAATATGTCAGGCTAACTAGCATGCCAATGAGCTTCCAAATAAAACAAACATCATGTTAAACTAGCTAGCAGAGAGCATGTGTGCTGCCAAACCAATGCTCACCACAGTAAATTGTGTGAAACAAAATGCATTTGCTTAGTCTAAGAATAGTACATGCATGTCTCTTCTTCCCTTTTACCGACTCTTCCAAACGATAAGCCCCTTATACACTTAAACACTGCCTTCCAGCATTTTTCATATAATGATATGAATATAATAATAAAGTACGTCTTCCGGCAGGAGCTGTGGTTTAACAAATTGGTGATAGAGATGCCATTTTCCCAATATTACAGCAGGGTTGCCAACTTTGGTTACCTGGCTGGAGTGAGATTTTGATATCATGAATTATTATTATATATTATCATTATGTCAGTGGTCTAAAATGGTCAAACAACGGTGCCGACAATATTATCGTTTATCGCAATAATTTCCGGGAAAATGTATCCAACTAAATTAATTATCGTGAGAGGCCTATACATGAAACACACAGACACAAACAAATCTACAGACTTACTCCAAACTGCCAAATATATTAATTAACACACTCTCACTCTCATATACTCTTTGACTGTATTTTGGCCTAGTCGAACAATAAGCAGTAGACTTTTACTTTTTTATCATTTCTACTTAGATCTTAGATCTGCGCATGCGCAATACGGGTCGGCAGTTGCGGCTCCAGAGTATTTTTGTCGAGTAATCTATGGTGGGGCTCAAGTCAGTATTTGCAATGTAATTACATACACGCTCCCCTTGACAGTGAAACGCCACGCGTGAGGTTTAGATTATTTCCCTGTCTCAATCCAAATTGAACTGAATCAAATAAAAAGGCACATTTGTCTTGTAGTAAATAAAAAGGGCGACCTGGAGCCAATCCTGCAATTTCCCCACAGGTGAAAGAGTTGACCTGCTGAAAACCCAACCCCTGCAGGGGGGTCTGGGGGGATTATCCCCCAGGAGATCTTTTGAAATACTAACATAAAATACACATTCTGGTACTCTCTTGAGAAGACAAATAAATAAATGTATTACTACACGACATATTTAAAAAATGAATGCCATTTTAGTTTTGTGTTACTTTGTTCTGAAAGCTGAACCTGCTGCTCCTCCCAGAGAGAAGAGGGAAGAGGCTGTGTGAATGACTTTACATTGTCAATGTAAAGTCATTCACACAGCCTCTTCCCTCCTCTTCCCTTATCCATAAGGGTGGATAGCCCCCATTGTTCTGTGTGTCAAAATGAAAGACAGCCCACACACCTATCAATCATCAAACCGTGGGGTCTTATTTCATTACGTGTTGATTTCTATCAACACGTAATGTTGTATGACTTGTATCGATGTATAGAGATGTACTACAGCAGAAGTATTCTCCGTCGGGACTTCCTGCAACAACACCACGCCGTTATCTTGATTCTGATAGACCAGAAGACATTATCAAAGATGCTCTATTGAGAAGACGATCATTAAATGACAAACGTTTTCAAAACCGTTTCTTGTCTTCGGTATTATTGTTTTTGGCGTGAGAATAGTTTGGGCAGCGTGAGAGCGTGAGATTGAGAGTGAAAGCGTGTGTCACACGCCAGATGCGTGAGAGTTGGCAACCCTGAATTATTTAAGCAATCATACACGAGAGGCCGTTCTTTAACGTCATTATTGGTACGACAGTACTGCGGCAGGACCGAGGCGCTTGCGCCGAGGTCCGTACGCCTGTACTGGAGTACAAAAAAAAAAGGCCAAGAGTATACCGTTTTTCTCAGACGCGGAGGGATACTGACTTGTTGTGAAAAGGCACGTTCTATTTGACCGTTCTTTGATCGTGGAATCAAACACGCCTATTGACCAATCAGAGAGCTTGCTCACACCTATGTGTTATAGAATACAGCGATATTACATTTCCTCTCAGCCTTAAAGGTGGGGTAGGTAATTTTGGAGAAAGCAGCTCGAGTGCGCTAGAATTTGAAAATACACAGCCGGAAAAAATCTGCCACTTCCTTACAGAGCCCCTCCTCCAACACACAGGAACGCGCACATGACCAATGAGGGCACGAGATAAGTTTGTGCGGTTTGTGCACAGATGGAAGGCTGACAGGCAGGTAGGCCATCCAGTTATTTTAGCCGGGCCGGCTAAAATGATTGGTCGTGCTTTTTACAGTAGCCTACTACGGCTTCCATAGATGACATTTGTTTATGGATTTTTTGTCAAAGCACTTAAGATATTCATTGCCATCGGGATGTTAAGAGCATTCCATGGAATATAACAAAAAGTGTATCTTGAGCCGGTTTCTCAAATTACCTACCCCACCTTTAAAGAAATGTAAAATTAAACTTAATTGTTTCTAATTTAATAGCTTCCCCTTTATAATGATATTATAATAGGCATTCCAAGTTAAATCATTCTGACATGAAACCCTCAATCCTTCTTATTGCTGTCTACATTATCTTACCAAGCATGTTTTGTTTGTCTCCTTTGTGATGATTATAGGGGCCTTTCTGATCCCCTACTTTTTGACCTTGGTGTTTGCTGGGATACCTCTCTTCTTCCTGGAGACGTCTCTTGGACAGTTCACCTCAGTGGGAGGAATGGGAGTGTGGAAACTAGTCCCTATGATGAAAGGTAAGATATAAAAAAACAACTGTTATATCATTTGAATGTACGGTACACATATTTTGAGTTGCCGACATGCTTTTGAACATCCTAAATAAACTGTATGCTACCAATAATATGCACTTACCACTAAGCTTTGTTTATTAGTAGCACATATATATCGGTCACACACACAGTTCAAAATTGACCTTGAAGGACACTCTCCACCGATATTTTCACTTGACATCAAGCCCTTTCCCCGTGCAATTGCACCAGTCACAAAAAATAACAAAGACACCAAAGAGGAGCATAAACACAAAAGCTAGAAAAAAAGTTTTGTGAACAACGTTTTTCATTTAACAATATTTTGCAGTGATTTCTTGGTGGTAGCAATCATAACACTGCCTCAAAGCTCAAATAGCTCGAGTGAAGCGCATTTTATCTCCCGCCAGCACAGATCGCTATATGAAAGTGAGTGTGCTGCTGTGCAAACTAATACTCAAAGCCAAGGGCAAGTACACATTAGGAATAGGAACATAAAAATGATGACCATAATAACTCACATGCTGAGTGACTGAGGAGAGAGTTTTTTGCACCCCTTACTTATTTTGTTACATTTTTCCTTGCATGTTTTGCTGACTTCTCAAACATTGTAATGTAAAATGCTGATGTCTGCCTCCTTCTTCTTCAGGTGTTGGTATAGCTTCAGTGGTTCTGGCCTTCTGGCTCAACATCTACTATATTGTCATCATCGCCTGGGCACTCTACTACTTATTCAACTCCTTTGGTTCGGTATGTTGCATAATCATTTGGGAGTAACTAAAGTTGTGTATATTCTAAGCATTGCTAAACTGATTATAATGATTTGATAAACAGCATATTAAACTGCAAAGAAGTTATTAAAAAACATGTTTAATTTATGATTTTCCATGCAAACATGTGATAGTTCAGGCTTCTCAAATGGGACAATTTGAACAGGACAGGAAATGTAATATAGTTAGGGAATTTGTGATAATTTTTATAGACCAATGTAGTATTAATTTACATGTCAGATGACTCAATTATGAATACAATAATCAATTGCAGTCCCACAGTTTCTGTTAATTTTTCCCATTTTGTTAATTCTAAAATGTAAGTGCTGAAATTAAAACAGGGAGAGTTTTGTCTCTTCCAATTTTGCTGTTTGGGTTCACTCTCTTGGCTCTCATGAGGCCATGAAAATCTCTGATAAAGTGACAAGGCGCATTCACACTGCGGTACTTTTCCCACAAAGGTTCATGTGAACTATTTAGTTCGCATGAACTAAGTACAGATCGCGTTCACACTGGAAAAAGTCCGTGGGGGTGGATTAGGCAAATGAAGCCGCTGACGTCACTTGTTCTTCTTCTGCTTTGGGTTTACTGGCAGGCCGCAAACCACTTCACGGCGTATACTGCCGCCCAAAGTCTCCGGCCGGAAGTCCCCGGAGTTGGGGACTGGCTTCAGTAGAAGCTGCTGGGAGTCCCAGCAGCCTTCCGAGTAAATCGCCAGAACGCCGACACCTCCTCATCTCTACCGCTCCCATGTTTTATTTTGTGTTGCCATAAATTAGTCTCTCTGCGTTTCTGCGCTATGCTAATGCTAATAATGCTAATGCGAGGATAATAAAATGGCGGCTTCACAAAACTTTTTGGGAGTTTTACGGGGCGTGGTTTGCAATCCGCCCAGCCAATCAGAAATATAGCTCTTTTCTCACAAAAGAGCCGCTCGAAAGTCCCTGCTCTCTAGTAGTGATGGGAATTCCGGCTCTTCTTGGTGAGCCGGATCATTTGGCTCGGCTCACCAAGAAGAGCCGGCTCTTTCGGCTCCCAAACGGCTCTTCAGTTTACGACTTATTATACCTTTTAATTAAATCAAATGTAGCCTCATAGGCAGCGCGTGAGGCTCAGGTTTGGGAAGGCTAAATAAAAATGTTTACCTGACACTGCCCGCCTCTGGCGTGTATAGAAAAGAGATCAACTCAGTGACCAATCAGAGCACAGTGTGCGGAGTTTAAATCTATCACGTCATATTACAGGATAAATGAAATACAGTTTAAACTGCCGTATGCAGAGAAGACGCCGACGTGTCGCACTTATCATTCATATCACATCATCAATCAGATAATCGATCATATAATATCATCATATATTTCCTTATCTGAGTCAGCTTCTCGAGCCGTATCTGGCCGTGCAACACTCACAGTGTCACATAGGCTACTGTATGCAGAAGTATTATTTTAAGCAACACATTAGCTTGACGAAACACTCAACTCAAATGTAGCCTAATTAAAGTCAGATCCACTCGTGTCTATGGGGCAGTGATATCATAAAACTGTTGTACGCTTTCAAACACTCGGTAGTTTATTTATTTTGTAACCAGTTGTTCTATATTCACCTTGCAGGTGCAACTATGTGGCTTGTATCCTGGATTATATGTTTAAGTCATGGGTAGTTAAAGCTCATATTTGTCTAATATTAGTTTACTTTTCATTAATGAAGTATGAAGCTGCGCTGTCAGTACACTTGTCCCTGTTTGTGATTGGTCAAATGTAGCTAACCCCGCCCCTTTCACATGAATGCGCTCTCAGCTGGAGAAAGAAACCCTTGCTTGATTTACAGAGTTGTTAACCAGCGTTGTAGGACTGCTTAGCGATATCTCGTTTGTTAGGGTTAGTTAAGATAACTCAAACATATCCAGGGTCTGTTGAACTGGCTTCGTAGTACAGTTTACTGGTGGCTGCAGTGCATAGCAGCGCTAATGTCAAAGACACACACATTATATTTTTATTTTACCAGGATGCAGTGACAAAAATATTTGGGAAGGTTTAGCCTTCCCTAGCCTACAGTACCCGCCGCCCCTGTGTAGCCCTGTTTTGACTAATGATTTATATGTGTACACATATATCACTTAAATTATTCAATACATCCTTTGTACTGAAGTATTCAAAAGTAAAAATTACATGTTTAATATAAATGATTTGCTGTGGCCAATTGTTTTCATTGCATATACAGACCCGTGCAACTCTCTGATACCACCCAATGAATGCATTGACTTGCTTGTAGAACCATGCTACACAAAACAGATAGCAACACCTATAAAAACTATTTTAAAAAAAAGGGGCTACTGTATCGACCTATATAAAGTATATAAATATAGTTTTGTTTTCAAAATACCAAAAAGATCCTGCATTTGAGCCATGCCTCATTTAGCTCTATTTGCTCTTTCCAGCGCTGTTTTTGCAGGAGCCTGATTCTGTGAGCTGCAGCTGACCACGCCCCCCTGCAGGAGAGGGGAGCGTGCTTTGAGATCAGCTGCTGGGCTGTCAGAAGAGGTGGAGAAAAAGAGATCTCCGTCCTCCGTGTTTTATTCTTATAGAAGTAAGAAGAGAAGTAACGGGGCAGAAACCCTCCTTTTTACGCAGCGGTCCAGACATAGACATCAAACGGCGACACATATTCAGTTGCCAGTTACTTTGGCATTAGGGCAGGGATATCTATATACTTTCCAAGGTTTGTGCTACTTTTAAAGCAAGCAACGATGTTTTCAAATCTGTAATCAAAAAGCTCCTCAAAAACACTATCGAAGCAGTTCCTGCTGTTGCTACGTTAGTTCAAACAGTAACAACGGACTACTTTTCTTAGCGGATGCATGTCAATTTAAATCAATACATAAAACTATTTTTTAAATCAATAAAATCATTTTCTAAATCCATAAAAGCATTGCCATTAATATTGGGAGTCATGTCGTTACTTTGTTGAGAATGTGGCCATGTAATAAGCGGGATAATGTGCACATTGCATAATGTGCCTTCATGCCGATCTAGATCCCTCCGCAAAAATGGCTCGTTCGCGGGCGAGAGCCGGCTCCCGTCGTTCACTTAAAAGAGCCGGCTCTTTGAGCCGGCTCGTTCGCGACCGACACATCACTACTCTCTAGCAGTGACTTTCGAGGGGGTAAAAAGGTTCACATTAACTAATTTTAGTACCGGCTCTTTTTGGTGTGAACGCGATAAAAGAGTTCACATGAACTAAGTTCACATGAACCTTTGTGGGAAAAGTACCGCAGTGTGAATGCGCCTTATGGTACCTTCTTGTACAGTAGTGTCATGTCAGTGTTTAAAGCGTGTTTCTGCTGCCACCAATTGGCCAAAAAATCAATGTTGCAGGCTCAAGGTGAAGGTATTTTTGAAACTGCATGGTAGGCACAATTCAAATTCAGTTTCTACACTTCAGCAATGCGTGCAATGCTGTCATCATCTCATGTCCTGTTTATCAACACCACAATTGCACGTCTTTCTATCTACATTCTTTACTTTTGTATCGTGAGTGACCGGCTCAAAGAAGCCTGATGGAGAAAATTGACAGAGGTTTCAGAAGAAAGGATACAAAAATATATTGTTCAATGTTTTTATCTGGAGGACAAAAACCAAGTTAGGCTACTAAACTGTGGAGAGTCAAGGACACATGATAGAAGTGACTTTATCTTTTTCTGAAGAGCTATTTATCATACTCATACATTTATTTTTGTTTGCAGGAGCTGCCTTGGCAAAGTTGTGATAACCCTTGGAACACAGAAAAATGTTTTTGCAACTACAGCCTGACAGACACCACCAACCTGACCAGTGCTGTCACCGAGTTCTGGGAGTAAGATATACAGTAGGAGTGTGTGGGTGCAAGATGCCCTGTGCAAGAATATGTAGAATTATTACTGTCAACTACCTTGGCTTATCTGTGTGTATGTGTGTTCCTGCAGGCGTAACATGCACCAGTTGTCCAGTGGGCTGGAGGAGCCAGGAGAGCTGCGCTGGCCCTTAGTGGGCACCCTAGGGCTGGCCTGGATCCTGGTCTACTTCTCAATCTGGAAAGGAGTGGAGTGGACAGGAAAGGTCAGATTTTGTGCTCACATGTCCGCCTTATTCTTTATTTAACATATTCCCATGAAATGTTGTACAAAAAAACATGGTACCTACTTCGGTGATCTCCCAAATGGTCTTCTAGCACATCATAGGATTAAAACATTTAGTTTTCTCAATAACTATTGGATAGATTGCCAGTCCTTCATGTCCCCTTCGTCTATCACCATCATCAGTTAAATGTATCCACATTATGCAGAACAAATGACATTCCAATCAGAGGATGTGTTAATTAGCTCCACAGATTCGAACAACAACCTTAAATATATTAAATAAATAATAGAGACATGTATTAGTATTTATTTATTCTTCGATAGAGTGTTTCTATCTGCTGTCAACTCTGTCTTTCTCTCAACATTTTACAAATAGACATGGTTTCAAAATGTATTATTCAATACCAAACTCCTGGATGATTTAGAAGGGATAGCAAAGAGTTAGAAGAAAAAAATATATCTCAACGTTGGATGTTTTAAATGACAGCAAGTCCATGCGATGTACTGTAGGAGAGCAGAAACACATTTGCACATTCACTGCTAGTGGATAATTGGATTTTAATGTGTGGCATCTGAGAGCAGTGAGAAAAATGAATTCTCCCCGGGCCCAAATCGTGACGGACAGCACCAATTAAACATAATGATTATGCAACAGAGCTGCAGGCCAGAAACGTAAGGCTCCGGGAAAGTCTTCAAGGCAAAGAGAACGCATGGAAATATTTTACTCTTACTGAAGGACAGTTTTGCATCTCCTGTTGAGTTTTTTAATTATACAGGATTCTACACTTATTTGTATATACTGTAACTGGTACTTTGACAGTATGTTGCCCATGTGCATTTTTGTTATTGTAATTTTTAAATGTTTTATTCATGCCTCTTGATTAATATCTTTGCTATTTTTGGCTCTTCACTTTTGCTGTAACAATATAAATGTCCCCTCTTATGGACGAATACATGTGATTCTGAGATGGCTTTAATTTGAAAGCAGGTATGCTTGACTTTTTAGTCCTCATTAAAGCCACATATGGGTTTGATTTAGAATATAAATTAATGCCCTTTGAACACTTAAAAAGATAAATGTCCTCTATGATTCTCTCAGGTTGTGTACTTCTCAGCCACCTATCCCTACATCATGCTGATCATCCTGTTCTTCCGTGGGGTCACTCTGCCTGGAGCCATAGATGGGATCCGCTTCTACATCACTCCAGACTTCAATAAGCTCCTCCGCTCTGAGGTAGACAGTTTCCTCCAATCGCACAAACCTGATCAAAGACAAACAGACGTGAACCTGGAAGTGTGTGTGTTTCTGACAGGTGTGGCTGGACGCAGCAACTCAAATCTTCTTTTCTTACGGACTGGGCCTGGGCTCGCTCATCGCACTGGGGAGCTACAACCCCTACAACAACGATGTATACAAGTAGGAACACGCTTTCTTTATCCCGATTGTTCATATCAAGTAATGTTCTTTCACCTAACTGTGAAGTGTTTTTCTTTCTCTTCAGGGACTCCCTCATAGTGTGCGGTATCAACTCCTGCACCAGCATGTTCGCTGGCCTTGTCATCTTCTCCATTGTAGGCTTCATGTCCCATATCACTAAGAAACCAGTCGCTGAATTAGCAGCATCAGGTACAATGCTCTATTCTCTTCTTTGGCAATGCAAAACAAAGTCTAACAATGTTACAGTGGGATTACATTTTAGATTTAAAGGTAGTGTAGGTAAGAATGGAGAAACCAGCTCGAGTGCGCTAGAATTTGAAAGTACGCAGCCGCAAAAAATCTGCCCCTTCCTTCAGACTTCCTTACAGAGCCCCTCCTCCAACACACACGAACACGCACATGACCAATGAGGGCACGAGATAAGTTTGTGCACAGATGGAAGGCTGACAGGCAGGTAGGCCATCCAGTTACTTTAGCCGGGCCGGCTCAGATGATTGGTCGTGCTTTTTACAGCGCCACGGCTTCCACGGATGAAATATTTGTATATTAATTGTCAAAGCATTTCATTTATTCATTGCTATCGGGATGTTAAGAGCATTCCATGGAATATAACAAAAAGTGTTTCTGAAGTGAATTACCTACCCCACCTTTAAGCTATGGTAAACTAATAGAACCAATATCCTTCTTTATAAACAGTGAATAAATTGTCTTTTAAACTTCAGACATGTTATGTCAAAATACAAATACAAAATAACCTCACTGCACATTTGAGTGAATATACTGGATTTGGGGTTAAAAGGTTAGGTTTAGGGTTAGTAAAATATACTTAAAAAGGTGCTTGTGTCCTGTTTCTCAGGTTTTTTGACATGTATACATCGATTCTAATGCATTTTAGTAGGTTACAGTGTAATGTCAGTAATATGTAAGATTAAGCATTTGTAAAGTATTTGTTTTGTCTTGTTTGTGACATTTAGGTCCAGGTCTGGCCTTTTTAGCGTATCCTCAGGCCGTCACCCAGCTGCCCATGTCTTCTCTTTGGGCCATCCTCTTCTTCTCCATGCTCATGATGCTGGGCCTGGACAGTCAGGTACAAAGAGCACACACTTCACCTGCTGCTACAGATAGGATTATATATTTATAAGACTTTTGTTCTTAATCGACCCTGTAGCCATGCTTTACTCTTAAATACCATCAAAAGCTATTAGATCAAAGTTTACCATACATAATTAAAGGTCACCTATTGTGCAAAATCCACTTTTTCATGTCTTGTATACATAAACATGTGTCCCCTCTGCATTAAGAGATTCAGAAAGTTTCAGGAAAAAAGATTAGCTCTATTTTTGTCCTGATCTATTTATATATAAACCTGTCTGAAAATGAGCTGATCCGATTTTGGCCACTTTATGATGTCATAACGTTTTTTTGGCTTGTGTAACCATTAGCCAATCACCAACCAAGGTAACCCCCCCCCCTTATCACCTGAATCTCCTCCTAGAGCACCATTGAGTTCTTTGTAACCAAATCTCTCTCAGAGGGGCGTGGGGAGGGGCTCCTTGTTTTCATCTAAAGTAACAGACAGAGAATCAGCACTTTTGAAAGAGGGCTGAAACACTTCAGAGACATGTTTTGTATATATCTGAGACCTATAATATATTGATGAAAAAAAGTATAATAGGGGACCTTTAAAAGTGTCTGGTGCTCTCGATGACTGTCAAAGACGTCCATCATGAGTTTAACAATGCTAAATAAGAGTGGTTTTTAATAACAAACGGCAGTACTTTCTGACACATATCTCTTTATGATGTCATGTATCAGTTCTGCACAGTGGAAGGCTTCATCACATCTCTGATGGATGAGTATCCCATGCTGCTGAGGAAGAGGAAGAAGCTCTTCATCCTCTGTGTCTGCCTCGTCTCCTTCATCATCGGCTTCTCCAACATAACACAGGTACAGTTAGAAGACTTGGAGGATGAAACAGTTGTGTACATCTCGATAGATTAGCTTATACTTTGTGCTGCAGAATGTGTGTGAGTATTATGAAAAGGTGGATGTTTCAAAGCACATACAGAAAAGAGACCTCTGCTGCATTATGACAAAGATTGCACACATTTCTGTGGTGTGCATAAGGCATATTTTAATCAATGCATTTTTATTTTTTATTTTTATATACTTTATTAATCCTCGTGGGGAAATTGTTTCTCTGCATTTGACCCATCCTAGTAATGGGAGCTGTGTGCTGCCATTTTGAACGGCGCCCAGGGAGTAGTGTAGGGAACGGTGCCTTGCTCAGAGACACCTCGGTATCACTTGGTCTTGCCGGGACTTGAACTGGTGACCTTCCAGTGGCCAAGCCAAGTCCCTATCGACTTGGCCACCACCGTGTATTAATCCTCAGCCTCTGATATGTGTGTCTCTGTGTGTGTTCAAACCTCCCAGGGTGGTCTGTACGTGTTCAAGCTGTTTGATTACTACTCTGCCAGTGGGATGTGTCTCCTCTACCTCGTCTTCTTTGAAACTGTTTCCATTTCCTGGATCTACGGTAGGAAATCTATTTCATGCAGTCTACTCTTGAACCCAACAAACCACATCTAAAATAAAATGAGAAAAAGCGAATTAATGAATAAAACATGTCGATTTCCAATAGGCCTAAACACTGTAGCCGTGCAACAGGAAATTACAGGGAGTCTATCTGCTGCAACTTTTCTGATAAGGCTCTACGTCCAATCAGCCTTCCCGATCTTTCACCCAATATAGCTTTGTTCTCGTGCTAATTATCTCCACATTAACACACTCACTTCCTTTTTTTGTCTTTCTCTCTTTATTCCACAGGAGCTGAAAGGTTTTACAAGGACATTGAGAGCATGATCGGCTATAGGCCATGTGGCTGGTGGATGCTCTGTTGGAAGTACTTCACTCCGCTGATATGCCTGGTAGGCGGGAATGATTATTGATTAAATGTCCATCATTTGCTTTTTTCAAACTGGCATCTTCTCCCTTATGGAGGGAATTAATCATATCGATACATTGGTTTCCTCTGGGAATCCTAGATGTCTTCAACACTATAGTGCATTCTGTAATTGGCCCAGATTATATGGACTAAATAACAAAATTGCATATTTTAGGGGGTGTTTACCTTCAGTGCCATTGAAATGACCCCTCTGACCTTGGGGAAGTATGTGTACCCGATGTGGGGCCAGTTGATTGGCTGGTTCATGGCTTTGTCTTCCATGATTCTGATCCCGGGCTATCTCATCTACATGTTCTCTGTCACCAAGGGCAGCATCAAACAGGTACAAACCTCTACACATGTCTCTGTTTCCAATGTCTAGGTAGGATACTAACAGGTGGAACTAGTGGAAATGGGGGGGAAAAAATGTGTCGAGAGATATGGTTCAGGAAGCAGGGGGGGATTTAGTATGCAGTAAGAAGCATAACAAAATTGGTTTGGCTAAAGGACAAAAATCATTATTCTGTTTTTAACTAGTAAGGTATGTTATTGTAAGGTGAGTTAATATTCTGTTAGCGTTTGCATGCAGCTAAACCATATTTTCATTGGCCATTTGTAAAAATCTGATTCTATTTAACATTTAGTTCCCTTTGCTTTTCCTTGAATTAAACACATGTACATTCACACTATTTCATTGTTAATTTTGATCTATTTATTACTCCCCTGTCTCCCCCGTTTCTTTAATGCTAATGTGATGTTGCTGTCTTTACTTGACCAGCGTTGGCGAAAGATGATAACACCGCGGGATGATGAGAAGCCATCGGGGCATGAAGAATTCACACACACAGGGAGCGTGGGCGAAGCTCGTGTCTAGCCAGGATCGTTCAGGTTGAAATAATTCCCATCTGCCAGGACTTACTATAGTCAACATTGAATTTGACAATTGAACAGATGGAGTCTTGTACAACAATTTACAATCATTATTTTCTCCATCATACATATTATGGAAAACTGGAAAATGATGAGACACTTTTTTAAATAAATGTAGAATATAGAATATTTCCTGTTGCAATAAAAGAGTAAACTCTGATTGAATGTTATAGATCAGAATTGGACCTGTGTACATATATCACAAATATACCATTCATGTGACTGTATATCTTTCTCCTATACTTGTATATTTTCTCTTCCATTCAACAAAACCACTGTCTTGGTCTAAAAGCTTACCACACATGTCTTGAATGTGTTGTACAGAAAAATAACACAAATCTGGTAAAACTTGATTCTAGGTGTAAAACTGTAATGCATCAAAAATGGTTTGCTTGTGGTAGCTTAAAGAACCATCCAGCCACTGTGATATTTTTTCCGGCAATAAAATATGTGGATCATCCATTTGTTTTTTTTGTCAGACCTACAAAAGACTCAGAACAAAGAGAAACACATTTGTAACTATAATAACCTCAAAGCCCCACACTCAAATTAGGATCATTAATTTGCAGAAAAAGAGACAAAATCTAGCAGTTGATTTGAAACCGTTTATACAGCAGAGTTTGCTTATAATGTTCTTTAGGTTTATTATAACGAAGTGAACATGATTATAACTGCTTTAATCAAGGAAGAGGCTATGTATATGAAGGAGGATATGGCACATGTTGATTCCTCTTTCTTGTTTTACTGTTTTTTTGTTGCTGATACGAGTCTTGGTTACACCCTTTCAAAATAAAACATATTTCCATAGCAAGTCTTAACAAATTGGCCAATGGTGGCTTTTCATTTTTTTTTTAATTCAAACTACAAAATCAAAAGAACCAAAACAAACCACTGTAGTGAATAGACTTAAATCATCTTTAATAGCATGTTGATATATTGCAAACAGACAGGTAGAGAAGGAGGGAGGTGATGGTTCATATCTGTTACACTCAGTTTCCACCTGTTCTTACCTTAAATATGTCATTTGTATTTGAACTATATGAGCAAACACAGTGTTGAAGAGCCAGACCAAGTCGATATGGCTTTTATGAAGCGGTGCACTGGTATGGCAGAGCCCTTTTTTTATTTCTTTAAGAAAGTTAGCCACTACTGCGCTTCAATATGCTGCACTCCCAAAATGCTACATTGGTTTCCTTTCAAACATAAACTCATCATTTTCACTTTATTTCACACAAAGGATGTATTTTTCTCCACAAAAAGCTTCAACACATTACCAAGTTTGCAACTAAAGAATTGTGACAGACAGACACACACAAATGGCCATTGTTAGGCCTTACATTTGCTGTTGTAAATCCATTTTCTGTTCGATTGTTTTTTTTGGCTAGCCCAGAAACTAAAAGATCTGTCATCCTCATTTCCCACTGGTATGCTCACAGCAGATTCAGTCATGCACAAAATGATCTAAACCTTTGGGAATCAAAGTTCAATAGGCCTGATGGCATGCATGAGAAAACGATATCACATTTATATCTGAATTTCGATCTAAACAAATGAGCAATCGTACAATCATCATACATCCCTCTAAAATCCATAATGTCAGAACTGTTGCAACTGATTTGTATTACGTAACCTTCATACGTTTATTCATAGCCAGTAAAAAATATTAAAACTGTCATAACAGCTCTTTATTCATTAATGAAAGCGTTAATTCATCTTATTGTGCCGTGAAACGAAAGCATGAAGTTGGATTTGTTGACAGGAAAGTTAGGATGCTACTGTGAGGTCAAACACTCATTATCTCTGCCTTTTTTTCCTGCAACCTCTGTCTTTCCATGGAGGGAATGTTGAGCGCAAAAGGACAAAAAAGACGAGATAGAGACTTCCCTGCAGTGGCTCTTTGAGAATAAACCAACAAACCAGACAGGCGCGGGTCAGATGGGGGCTGAGTTAATCGAATGTTATTCACGCAGTACCTGGTGGGGCCATTGTTTAAAAGATGGATGTTGACCTATTTCCGAATGAGGGACGTGTGACAGGGTAATAGCATTTTGACGAGGCTAAAGGCAGCTTGTTGTCCTTTCCGACACTGCTCCAATGTGATATTTACAATCTAGGCTGGGGTGAAATAGAAAGAGATCAGATAATGCATTCTTTTCATCCTATTCTTAATTAAAGCAGGCTTGCAAACAGCACAAACAATACCATTAATGCCACCATTTGCAATATAAGCTGTGTGTGTGTGCCTCTTTAGTTATTTTTTTCTAAATGTCAGACTAAAAGGTTAGGAGGGAAAAGAGAGGATCTGAAACCAAACCTGCGAGATGTACGGACATAAAGAGACAGTGTCTGGATGTTTTGTGGGGAAAACACACAAAGGTTGAATATGCTTTTTACGCAAACCATAATAGAACACAGATCTTGACAGTTAACAGTTGCAGAAGCAGTCTTCATGGAAATTCATGGCGATGTCCTTGAAGAAGCGATGGAGCGTTTCACAACAGATGACAGCACAGTGTACAACATTTATTACATGTGAATGCTGTATCGAGTTCTAGAAAAATCCGAGAGCAGTTTCAGCAGCTGAAACAATTTCAGCGTATGAAAAAACCCCGCCATCAGCAGAAAACATGTGGCATTACTCCTGGGAAGCGTTAGCGATATTACACATGGAGAGTGAAAGACAAACAACAGGAGAATCCCGGGCCGACTTTTTGGTTTTGGCAGCATCCTTATGATGTGATTGGTCGCCTTTGTTTCCTGTCATACTTCACTGTAGGATGATCTATGGAGAGTGACAATTGAGTGAGAGTGTTTTCTCATGATAGAGAGCCACAACACAACAGAGGAGCGGAGGAAAAACGCAGCTTATCGCAGGATATCCTTTCTTCTTCAGTTTTTTTTTATCCAGGGGAGCAGAGAAGAAGAGAGAAGACTCTCAATCACCAAAATAAAACAGCACTAACCGGAGATAGTGTTTTCTTTTGAATGGAATATCAGTTTTATTTTATTTTTTTGTGGTCCTTGAGGGAGAAGCATGAAAGGGCTGTTTTAAAGTAAAGGATAGAGTTTTTATTTGTATTTTCTTCTAGCCCTAGCGTTTAATCAAGTGTAAAGAAGTCAGTGTAAGGTGGAGGCTATGTATTTTGGCACAGGTTTTCAGTAACGGCCCGTCCACACTACAGCTTCAAAAAAAGCTTGGAGCTGGGCGTGTGGGAAGCTCGACCAACAACTAATCACATGAATCTCCCGCCCCTGACACACAAGCAGCGGTTTGATTGGCTAGAGCTTGTACTGGCATATGAATTGATTGGCTGAGGCTTCCACCGAAAGCTTCAGAAGCTTCGAAAGTTGAACATTGCTCAACTTTTGCAGCCTGAAACCATGCCTGAAACGCCAGGAAAGCTCCGCTCTGCTTCCCACAATGCAGTTCGGCGAAAAGTGACGTCACCCCATTCAAAGTGAATGGGCAGACGCGTTGGAAACCGTTTTTGAAGCTGTCGAAGCTGTAGTGTGGACGGGCCGTAAGTGTTCACTATGCACGCAGGCGCACATAAAGCACAATAGGCATGAGGGGGGGGGGGGGGGGGGGGGTGAAGAGAGCGGACAGAAGCAGAGGGTCCTTGGAAGGTGTCGATCCATCACTGTCCATTTCTGTTGTTGTTGAGGATGCAACGAGAAGACATCCATCCAGAAACTGAATATCTGTGTTTTCCTAGCAAGAGTTAAAACTGACAAAAAGTTTTAGAAATGTGTTAAAACTACATAATATTTCAAAATACATGTGGAATCAAGTAAAACTGTATATATGCACTTTATTTCTCCGTTTCTCTTTTGAAACTTTTTCTTTTAGTTTATTTTCTTTCCTTAAATATATGCATATAAGTGAGATTTCATTTTTTTTTTATAGCTCTTTCATCTGTATATATATATGTACATTATGTACTCTTTAAATAGGTAGATAAGGGGTGGGGTTAGGGTGTGTGAACGTGGGTGTTTTAGGGAAAGACTACTAATTTATTTATTTACACCATGCTCCGTGAGCCACTTGGGGTCCGGTGTAGACTGAGGCGAGGGTCTGGGGGTATGTACTGGTGTGGGTGGTTGTAAGGCGGAGGTGGGGGGGGCAGCGGGGGCTGGTGGCCGTCGTTGCCGTGAGAGCTGTCCGGCGAGCGCACCGGGGTGGACATGGCCGAGTGGCTGAGCTGGTGGTGGCTGTGGTGGTGGTGGTGCTGGTAGTGGTGGTGGGTGGGGGTCTGGCTGAGGAAGGCCTCCATGTGTCCGTGGCCGCTGTTGTCCAGCATGAAGACCTTGACGATCTGCTGACACTGGATCAGTGTTTCGGGTCTCAGATCAGACATGCTGACGGCCGCCTGGTGGTGCTGCTGGAGGTGGAGGTGGTGGGTGGGGGTGCTTGTTGCTGACTGCAGCTGCGGGTGCTGAGGGGGAGGCACCGGCCCGTAGGTTAGCCCCTGGGGCCCCTGCTGGAAGAGCAGCTCCCCCCGATGGTTAAGAAGGGCCACGCTCTCGGGACTCGGAGCCGTGCTGCTGAGCTGGTACGTCTGAAGCCTGTTGTGAATTGACACCTAGTTTAGAAAACAGCCAAGAGAACAGCATCAAATGTTATAAAACTGGTTCCTCCTCTACAATCCGTCAAGCCCTCTTTTCTTTTTTTGGGGGGGTGATGAACGCACAGCACACACACACACAAGGCATGCGTGGGGGCGTAGGTGTTGAGGGTTCGGTGGAGGTGTTAAAATCATTGTGACTACTGCACACTCCCCCCCCTCCCCCCTCCACCCCCACAGGTACTGGGAACAGTGTAGCTTAGATGCTGGGAGCAGCAGTGTGTGACCGGGGTCAGGGGGAGGACAGTGGTGGGGAACGGGGTGCGATTCCACTAAAAAAAGGGGCCTGATGGTTCCAAAGGGGACACTGAGGGCCCCCGTGTCTCCTTTCAAAACCACTGTTTGGCGCTATGGTGACAGCGGACACGAGGAGACTTGTGGGGTTGGGGAGACCAGAACAAAGACGGAGGTCGTACGGAGAAGAGGGAGAGGTGTAAGGAGAGGAGGTGAGCAGACCGACAAACACAGACGTCACAGGCAACACTCATCAGAATGCAAACCTCTGTATGTCACATTTATTTCAACTCTATTCAAACTGTTCTAACCTCAAAGTCTGCTTCTGCTATCTGTCTCCCTTTCTTGTACCCTGCCTTGGAGGCTTTTCATGTGGCCTATTTTAGGAGATAGGTCACATTTCCAAGCAACCTTATACTACAATTCTTCAAAAGTATATGCCGAAGCCCAAAAGTATTTTGAGGAACAAGAACCATTTGAAATGCATAGCCTACTGTGTGTGGTGGAACAAAATGTGGAATGTGTTTGCGGCCAAAGCACGTCGAGGACACTACCTTTATATTTTTCGCAAGTAAATAGATAGGGTGCATAGTGTTTGTCACCTTAAATAGAGTAGTCCAATTACCAGTTCGAACACAACAACCTGTTTCTATTTTTATTTAAAACCCTGCCTTTTGGGGGATTTTGTGAGATCAGTCTACAAATATAAACATTCACAAAGGCGGCCATTTATAGAACCTCATTCTCACATTGTCAAGCCACTTAGAAATATACCTTATCGTTGTATTGATTTCTCTTCTTCGTTTCTCATTTTAATGTCCTTTTGAAAACCCACTACAGACTTATGTCAATAAATATATATATTTTTCTATTATAGTTTTCTTCTAGCCAACTTATTATTAGCTACGTAAGAGTCTCTAGCTTACTATGTAGAACATTTAAAATACTTGGCTTGATATCTGGAAAAAATATGTTTCCTTCAAAACATATTCAAGAATGCAGTGTAGTTGTATGAGACAGGATACTGTAATAATGTGCCTTTTGACTCAAGACTTGACTTAGCCGTTCGAAGATTTGAGACTTAAACTAGGGGATTTTGAAAAATCAGAACAATTCTTTGATATTTGGAGTGTTTTTTTTTTTTTAAATGCAGGACATCAACATATCCAGCCAAAACTAACAACAAGGTACAATACAATTGATGTATAGGTAGTTGGTCAAATGCATCATGCGCAATAATTAGCCATGTGCTTCTGAAAATGTTGTCTTTCTCAATCTACACCCTTGAAAGTCATGGTAATCGGCTGTCCGCACTACCACTAACCTGGTGGAGCACGTTTTTGATTAAAAGCTAAACCAAACACAAATAAAGCCATCCTCCTCCCATAGAGACAGACAAACAGAGCATGATGCAGTAGTTGTCCTTTTAAACTCTGCCAGCCCCCCCCCCCAACACTCCCAGCTGCAGCCAATCAGATAACGAGCCTGCCACATGTGACCTTTTCAGAGCAGAACAATGTCAGCTGGATGAGGCATAGTCCAAAGCATGCATGGGATTTGTTCCCAAAATGACTTTAATGCACATGAATTAAATAGTATCACACTTACATTATGTGGTGTTGATACATTGTTCTACTTGATCTTGACTCAACACAATTTTAGACTTTAGATTTAGACTTGAGATTGAACTTAAATCATCCCTTTTTCGATGTTGGTGTTAAAAATGATGTTCAACAAAATTACAGTAACCTTTAGAAGGGAAGTATATTATCTCTGATTGCATTTTAGTTTTTTGGATGCAAAAAATACACTTCTAATTATACTGGTTGAAACCAAAAGTGAACTTATTATTAACTTATTTCTGTTACTAAAACAGAATTGATTCCATGAATGTTCTTGAAGTTTTGTTTTAAAACGTAGAAAAAGTAGTTTGTATTTTTGTTGTGTTCTGTTTCAATTTACAACTTTAACCCAAACCCTAACCCTAACCACGTGTTTAGAACTGGGACTTTGATCCGGTAGAAAATACATTAGCCACAAACGTAATTGAGAATGCAGTTTAGTAGTCGGGAACAAAATGTTTTAAGAGAAAGGGTTCTCTGTAGACATACATGTTTCATTATTTTGTAAATCAGTCAGCCAGCCTTTTTTTGAATAACAAAATAGTAGGAGTAGTTTTAAGAAGTATACCTATAAGCTTGGCTACAGCTAGCTCCGCTTTGAACTACCAGCACTTCTGCAGTAATAGAAATACAAATATTTAACTCTTATTAGTCTATACGAAAACACAATGTTATGTTACGTGCTGAATTTATTTTTTAGATTACATATTCTTAATTTCAGACTGAAAATATTCTTTCAATTGTGATTAAAGTGAAGGACATCGTATAGCCAGCATTGAAATTCCTTTGGTCATCTGGGGAAAAACAATCTTTATACTCAGAAATCAAACTATTGAAAGGCACCAGAAAGTCAGCTAAGTCCTTATATCTAAAGTGCTTAAAGGCTCATTGACGCTGTTCTCACAAGTATGTGCCAAGTCGTCAAGAAGAAATAGTGGTTGGCAGATTGAATAGGAGCAAATGATAATGAGGTTCTTTCACAAGAGTTATATCAGCTCTTGTAAGAAAATGGGAGCAGCTTTTCTTACCTCAGATAACCAACATTAAAAGTCTATTATATAGCATGGTGAACTACCGTTGACCTTATTCAAACAGTCGCCATTTTGGTGAGAAACTACATCATGATTGACACGTTCACATTAGGTTAAACGTTTTTAATTGATTTTCTAAATGAACCAAGTCGTTTTTTGCATTATGGTTTTGTCCTTATTTAAGGGTTCTTGATGGGTTTAATAAAACGTAGTTAAAGTGAGAGAGGGACAAATAAAAAGGCTACAATTAAATGCTTTCGAGGTATACAAATTGCATTGCCAATGAAAATGATTGTACCCTGAAAAAACTGAAACTTTGACTTTGAAAATGTATAATGTTGACAGATTACATATAACTGTATTAGGTTATGAAAGCAATAATATTAAGTTGAATCTAATATTTAATACTTAATATGATTGCTTCCAACTAACCTAATACAGTTATGTGTAATCTGTTGACATAATACATTTAATTAAAGTCAACGTTTCAGTTTTTTCAGTGTAGGGAATGAAACTCTTCCCCTTTTAAAGTGACTTCCAGTACAAACCACGCCCACTTCCGTCTCCTATCCGAACAAGGAGAGGAATAATAGTGTTGGTTAAACACATTCAGATAAGGATATTGATGTTTCTGAAGATCCCGATTTGGCCACTTATATCTATGGGGCCGGTTTAAGCAGTATCCTCTGTGTGACCCTCCTGCTTTCTAAGATAAATGTGTTTGGACAGCTAACGGCTCCCAGTCACTGACATTTACTGCAGACTGCATGGTTGAGGGGAAGACGGCTGGAGAAGGTAGCTCAGACAACCATGAAGACTTCTGAACGTTTTTTAAATGTCTCTTGCGCAGCTAAGTGCATGTTTGCTCTGTTTTTATTGTCACTCTACAGAAAAGAAAGAGCTATGAAGCATTTAGGTGTGATGTATATTTATTTACTTACTTTTAACCAGCACCTGAGTAAAGATTAACACCCTAACATACCAGTGAGAATTAAACAGCCACAGTTGTCAAATTGACCGGGTGTATTTATCTTTTCGCTCCAGCCCTCTAATAGAAAAGCAGAGGAAAAGGTCATCTGATGCCACTAGGATGGAAATTGCAAAGCCCCATGGGTACTGTAGTTGCTTGCACAAAAAGTTCGCATGAGATGTTTTCACTGAGATCTCACAGAGGGGTGAGGAGGTGACGTTTCCGGGTCAAAGGAGCGCTAAATCTTTCCGCCTGCATGTTACTGTGTTAATTAATGCCTCAGTGCTGCATTTGGCTGCACACACACACACACACACACACACACACACACACACACACACACACACACACACACACACACACACACACACACACACACACACACACACACACACACACACACACACACACACACACACACACACACACACACACAGTTTTTTTTCAGTAATGGCTGCTTTCTCTTTTTTTCTTTAAATGCCCTAAAGGAGTCACAATTTATTTCTAAGCTTTTGAAACTAATTACAAGCAATACTTTTTAGGCTTAAAGATAATATTTAAGCTGCTGAGTGTGATGCATTTTAGTGGGTAGAACCTGACTGTGAGACTTTTATTAGATCCCCCCAAACCAACCATCTTTCATTTCTGTACGTCAAGGAAGTACTTTTATCTAACATTCGGTCGGGTTACCTCCCATGCCCGCAGCTTTACCCTGCATCACTCATTCTCTCAGCCTCTCTTCACCACTAAGGACAGAGGGTGTCGTATTGTCATACTGATATTCTGTACAAACTGTGAAGTCCACTAAGACAAATGTAACATTTGTGATATTGGGCTATATAAATAAACATTGATTGATTGATGCCTCTAGCCCTATAGAGAGATGACTACTCCTGGGGTTTCATCCTATCTCATCCTGCCTTGGCAATGACCCTCTGCACTGACTTACCTTCAGTGACATGGGACACATCACTAAGCACTTACCTCTACTGCATTGTGTCCACTTCGGTCATCCATCTCCTGGTTTCCTGGACAGAGGGGAAAGATGGAGGGAAAAGAGACGAAAGTGGCACCGAAATGTCTGTGTTAAACTGTCATTTATTTTGACTGAGTCCTAAGATGTTTTCAAGAGCACGAAAACAGGACCCTTTATTATCACTCCACCTCAAATGTAAGGTATAAAACAGGGGTTCTAAACATACACCCTCCAATCCAGCCAGCTGACTTTGAAAAGTGTAAAAATGACAAAGAAATTAACTTAATTTTTAACATAACATAAGTATTTTGTTAATAAATGCACAACGCAGGATAACTTAACCTTGGTGGTCAGGATTACTACATAGATGTGTAAATGAATGTAAAATTATTTCTAGATCTTGACAAGTTGTTATGATCATAAAGTACATTTATATATTGTTCAGGTCCAGACACCGGTTATGCCTTGGCCTTTTTACTGTGTGTAAAAGATCAACTGAGGCATTCAATTGTTGAAATTGCACTTGTTTTTTTTAAAGAAATGTCAGGCTGCTCATAATCAAGTGTAAAAATATAGTTAATTAAATGTGAACATTTTCCGAATTAACTTTTTTTAACTAAACCAAAAGGAACCATTTGGAGTATTTATTGGTTATTATGCTAGGATTTTCCTGGTCTGGCCCACTTGAGATCAAATGTGACTGTATGTTGCACCTGAACTGAAATGAGTTTGACAGCCCTGGTATAAAATATATTTTTCCAATGAATGAATTCATGAAAACAGCGGTGGTTAAACTTTGTTGCAACATTGGGAAAATGAATGCAATTGAGGGCGAGGTCTCCGCAGTGTGTTATGGAATTAAAAAGGTGCACACACACTCACTTACACACCTGATGGGGAGCCCTGTTTGCCACGCAGTTCTAGCTGGGTGCCATTGTTCTTCACTGAGTGTGCCTTGGCCCCCTGCTGCTTCTCCAGCTCCCCTGCAGAGAACACAACACAAACATGATGATCACATAATCACTATGGCAGAAAGAGGAGCTATACAGACAGACAGGTAGAAGGTGTAGGCGTCAGAATATTAACCGACATAGCTCTACTTTATTTCAAATGCCGAACACACGCTCTCATTGCCTTCCCCTCCCACTCTCGCCTCTAATCTCCAAACGCAATCTTTCTAATTACACTTCACACTTGATGGTAATTGCATGTCATTTCCAATCATGATGACTAAATGTTGTTTTGTCTCTGACACCTCCATGAATTCAAATGTTTTACTGCAAAACTGCCAGGAGCCACATTTAGAGTGCCACACACAATGTCCTTCATTTCGTTGTGGTGCAAGTGTGGCAAAAATGTGACAAACTAAACAGGGAGTGACCTGTTTGGTCGTTTATTAAAGCTTCATGTAACAGAGGGTTCAATGAAGCTTTAATGTATTTTGTCACGAATTATAGGGGAAATTGATCAAAGTTTGTTAAATGGTGCAGGACTTTTATTGATATTTGTAACGTACCTATAATTATCACATTTCATAAGTTTGTCCCCCTAATTTGACATAGAATGGCCTTTTTTGTTGTTGTTTAGAGTAGATGTAGGGCTGACTTAAAATAATCATAAACAGATGTTGATAATTATGAAGATCCAGATAGAGGGAAAATGCACCTTGTATTAATAATAATAAGAAACCGTTTCCTTCCTGTCTCACAAAGGGAAGCCCAAACATCCACAGGCATGTTTGCTAATGTGCCGACAATTCAAAACCCTTAGAGGACGACAGAACTGCCAGAAATCCTTCTTGTTTAAAACGTTTTTTATATTATTTCTTGAGGAAAATGTTGTGCTGTTTTGGTTTTTATATATCTTTTAACAAATAGTTCTCAACTTGACTTCTTATTTGTGTGCGTTAGTTTGTGTTTGTGCACAGTAGCTGTCTCTCCTCGCTCCACTGTACTGGAAGAAATAACTTCTGTCTGTCACCATCTGCCCCCCCCCCCCCGTATGTTGCTGGCCCTTCCTCTCTCTGAAGGGGAATGCAGTTGCGTCATGTCCCAGCAGGGATGCTCTCTTTGAGGCCCACTGGCAGGAGCCGGGCTCTGAATACTCTGCTTTTTCATGTGGGTCTAAGTACGTGCATGTCGTATTGTCTGGAGAATTTCATATGTGCAAACAACTGAGATGCCTGGCAGCTTCCAGGAACACTGGCCTCCGTTCACCTCCAGTGTACTGCCTGCTGCCGTCTGTTAGAGCTGCAGTGCACCAAAGGAAACTAAATGCAAAAGTCAGCCTGCAACTGCACGCTAACAAATAATACAAAACAAAGGAATGGCTTCTGACCCATGTGTACTATAGACTACATTTAACATTTCCCACACAGAGTGTAATCATTCACTGTAGTCAGCCATTTTCCAAGATGTGAGATTATTATTTGGTCAAAAGATGATGCTGGGTGCATTGTTCATTGCCAAAGAGGAACCAAATACTTGGTAGACACAAGCTTGCACAAGTATAATGAACATGCATGCAGCAACAAGACTCATACAGAGAATTAGGATCAATCCAAGAATGATATGAACCTTCTTTATGTCACATGTACCCATCACGTTCTCTCTGTGTTTGGCAGCCTCCAGTCTTAATGGTATCATAAAGTGGAAAACCATTTAAAGACACTTACACTCGATGCGTATCTGCTCCATCTCCGACACCTCCGCGATTGATTCCTTCAGATCTTCTATGAACTTAAGCAGCTCCTCTGCACTTTGGGCACAGAAGTTAAGGACCTGCTTCTTGTCCGAGCCAAAAGGTGAGAGGATGGTGATGCCATGAGGGTAGTCTGGCAGCGATGTGGGATCGTTGAGAAAAGAATAAGAAGAGACATTTCAAGAATTGTCTACAAGATATTAGCTAGTTTTTCTTTTTAAAACATTTACATCTAGGGAAATGTTTTAAAAAGTAATTGTATTCTTCTTTTGGAGATAGTGCAAAGGCAATATTAATGTGACACATTTCTATAGGACCGACCAGTTCTATAATAATGCATTTATATTATCATGAATATAAAATAAAGGGATAATATCCCTTTTGAAATATGGTCATAACTCCTTTATCCCTTGCTCACTTCACGATACCTTTCCTGTGACCCCCAGCATTGGGTCTTATAGGTTTTATGTTTTTCATGGGCAGCTGTCTGCAGGCAAGACTTTGTGACTTACATTCATTCTCAAACAGATGAAACTGCATGCCAAGCAGGCCCATTGCTTTGCAGAAGGTGTAGGCTGCAGAACTCTTCTTCTTTGGACAAAGCTTCAAGATCTGCACATAATCAGAAAGTAATAATAACGGTGAGAGACAGGAGAGCAGCTCAAAAAACAAATGTCTTTTTGATTATCATTGAGATTTCCATATAAGAAAAATAGCTCTGATAGAAACACTCCGTTTGATCATTTAAAATATATTGAAAGAACAGAAAGTCAATATTAATGTTCACTACCAGTTTCTGATTGTGCTCTGTGAAAAACAACACATTGTCAACCTCATTTCAGGATGTATTAGAGATATTATTGTGCTTATTGAATGACCTTCGGGTAGAGAAAGATGAGGGGCAATGTTTTTCAGCGCAATTGTGAGGGGCATAATCTGCCAAGCGAGCTGTTTTAAACTAATACATCACATCGGCACTTCAAACACTTCTTGACATATCTAAGCTGCTAGAACAGGGGCCAAATTCAAAGAAAAAACTCCTCATCACTTTAATTTCCCAGTAAAAACTTTCAAAGACAATTCCTGCCCTGCTTTCAAAGATGTCCGGAGAAAAAACTGAAAGTATCGCACCGCTAACTTTGAGTGCTAAATGAACAGAATTCCCCTCTGGACTGGAAGACTCTTCTGCTTTTTCACCTTCTACTTCAGAATCGGCCTTCTAACCTCTTTTCCCAGCAGCTACCAATGACTTTTGATGCTTTAGCAGGAAAGAGAGAAGTAGAGTAGCCATGTTTTTTTACCCAGGCTGTGTTTTTTGGAGTGAGTTCAATGTTAATTATACCCATCATTAAACCTTTGATAATGCTCCAATCGACATGATCAAGTGAACAACTTATCTTAATTGTGAAGCATAACTTTATAACTGGCCCTTAAAGCTGCTCTGTTGGGGACAGATCTTCCCATATTAATGCGCTACAAAACTGTAGTTTCTTCAAGGGTTTAAAATGGGAAAAGACAAATGTATTTATAGCCCATAAAATGATGTCCCTACCTTGGACCAATGGCCCCAAAGACTGTGGGCAAAGATTATGGCTGTAAACCATATGGAAATAATAACAGCGAAACTACTCAAGATTGACATTTATTTAGCAAAGTAATCGCCAGTTATTTAGTAAATAATACAAGTCTTTACTTCCTTTCTCCTTTCCTTTCCTTTTCTCCTTGTCGTCTTAATATATTTTATTTGTCTTTATTGTCATTATTCGTTTTATTATAATGTATTATGTTGTTAGTAAATACTTTTTACTTTTGTATGCACTCTGAGAAATTAGAATAATTTTAAAAAGAAGGTATAGTAAAGTGAACATATTGTAAACATGTAATTGGACATTATATTGTACTTTTTGCTTTTTCTATCTGTTCCATGTTGTGTGCGACTCACTGTCAAGGAACTTGTATTAATACAAAATAAAAAAGTAAGGTCCAGAGAGACCCGAGTTATGAAAAATAAAGGAAGAGAGGGAGCCCTCAGTGAAAGGAGGTGATGGTGCATTGCAGCTGTCACAACAAAATAAGAGGCTTTAAGATCCACTGAGCAGCAGAAACAACCACTTTAGAGGCAGCTAAAGAACAACTGGGAGCAACATAAACAGTATGACAAATATGGATTTTTACTATGAATCTTTCCTTGTTAACTTACCACAATGAGATCATTGAAGAGGAAGACTTCTCTCTGGTGCGCCGCCTGTTTCTGGGCCTTGTTGACATCAGTCACCTCAAACAGTCGACTGCAGCACACCAGTCTTCTGTGAGGGACAGAGAGAACCTGCAGAGAGAGGGACAGGCGTTTAAAGCTTCACTCACTCTGAGAGGCTTTACAGTCATTGAAGAAAATATGAAGACATAGAGGCTGAAAGAGACACATTCCCCTCAGAGGAACTGGGTAGAGAGTGTTGAAGTGAAACAGGAAGACTTTAAATAGTACTGCACATTATTCACTGAGTTTAAAGCTGGGACTGAAGTGTCAGATAAAAACTGATTAAGCACACTTAACTGAGAAATATTAATGACATTGAAAACTGACCTAGGAGTCTTAAAACATGAATTGCAGAAACACAAGTGCTGTTTCAAGGTTATGCCAGATTGTGAAGAAAATGTGAATATATGCAGGTTGATTATTTCTGATCATTTTCTACATTTTTTGCATCTCACCCTTTTTATATTATCTAGCTAAGATGTGAGCAATCATACGTATAATATTAGAACATTAAATGTATAACTACAGTCTTTGTGATGCTTGCTTTAGCTTCTTCCAGTAACACTAGAAGTCCTCTAAAGCAAGGTCAAGCTACATTTTGTTGTTTTTGTTGTTGTCGAGCTCTAGATTTAAGGCTGAATCAGATTATAGAAGGTGGAGGTCTATTGAAACAGCAGATTACACTACAAAAATGGCGGAGACTGATCTAATCATGTCCTCGCCTCTTACACGCTCCGTCTCTGTGCTTGTCTCTGTGTTGGATCACTGCAGGAATCCAAACAGCTCTTCATGAAAATAAAATAACTATCCTCAGCCTCTGTTCAGCTCTCTCTCAGTGCATGTTAAATCTTTATTCTCTCTGATCCCTGTGGACTATTTACAGTGCAGTGAGTACACACACAGCCTCTCTTATCTCTCATATCTGCAGGGTCTACACACTCACAGCCAGCCTGGTTTCTCATTACCCTAATGTCAGAAACATGTAGAGACATCATTAGCTGGAAATGCCTCGTGCATCTAGAGTGAACACGGTCTTGTTCTAATGGGATTATTTAGAAACGGTGAGCCAGGACAGTTTACTCATACGATTAACAATTAATGAATGACTACATAGAAATTGGTTCTACAATTGTTAATCGTTGCAAATCATTTCCCAACGATTAATAATTTAAGAAGAGTATTTACACCAAGCAAAAAAAAAACATCCTCATACAACTGATGTGATAGCCTTTTTAAGGAAGAAGTGTTTTTATAACAGACAGCTCTGATGGACAGGAATAGTCCCTTCCAGTCACACCAATCCATCAATGTTTGGCTATGACACTCCCTCTGTAATCCTATGGCTATTCATCCATCACCGACATCATCTTAAAGGCTCATTTTATAAAGGCTATTGTAAACTGGTACCTAAGTAAAATAAATGAAGAGAGGTTCCAGACAATGAAATAAACTCAGTGTATTTTCAAAATGTTAATAATTTTCCATATTGGCTTTTGTATAGTGGATGTGATGTGGTCAATTCCCAGTGTATGGGAAACAAATCACCAACTTTTACCCTGGACCTATATGCCATGAATAACTGATTGAAATGGATTTGATAAGATTCAAAAAAATAATTCCCTGAACTGTTTAATCATTTAAAAAAATCCTTTCAGTGTTATCAGTTGGCACTCAGAGCACATTCCCACATGAATCAGAGTAAGCAGTCAATTATAAAGCTAAACATCCGTCTCAGACTTACTACGGCCGAAACACAAACATCTCTATAAACATATTCACAGGATGAGTTAAAACAATAGTCATAAGCAGAGGTAGAAGAAGTACTCAGATATTTTACTGAGGTAAAAGTAGCAATACTACAGTGTAAGAATACTCAGTTAAAAGTAAAAGTCCTGCAAACTAAATCTTACTTAGAAGTACAAAAGTATTGGCATTATACTCAAAGGATATTTAATTACTGTATGTACTACTACTACTGGCTATATTCACCTATAACTATATATCATAGTTTATGTATGAGTTTTTATTAATATTTTTTATAATCTTATAATCCACATTTTTCGTGGCTACCAAAATCTAGTGGAGTTGGAAGTACAGTACTTGAGTACATGTACTTCATTACATTACACGAATTGCCACAAGTCAATAAGCTATTATAAACCAAATGAACTCCATCTGATAAGCACCAGATTGCAGAAAGACAAAGTTAGTGACTAGCTGAGGAACATAGCAGAGCATTTTGCAGCTTTGATAATGAATCTTTTCAAAGTGAGTTCATATTGGACTTGCATTCAGGTGGCAACCAACAAAACTCTGAATGATCATGTTGCTTTTTCCTGCTGGATGATGAATAGTCGACTGTCTGCCCAGACATTGAGAATGTGTCCTTACCGTTTTCATTCCCACGATGGACTGCTCCACCTTGGAGACGTAGGTGACGTGGTCTTCGTTGGAGCGTAACTCCCTCTGTTGTATTCTTTCATAGATTCCCACCACCATGTCTCTGGGGATATCTGCTCCGTCATCAACACCTATGATGGGAAGAGGCCGGTTACACACAACTATACACACATCTCAGGGTGGTTGCATCAGAAGGAATATGGAGTGTGTCGTATCTGTACATATAAAACGTTTTGCATTACACACTCATGTGCAATATATCCAATTTACGCTTTATTTTTCTGTAAACAGTACCAGCTACTCTTATAATTGTATATGGTCACTTAAATTGCTACTTGTTTTACCATGGTGTACTTAGCTGTTATTTGTTTTTACTTATTGGGATGTTGTATTAATAACTTCTAATATGTACGTGTATTCCTTTACTTTATTTGCACTATATCTGTGTGTTGTGTGTGTGTGTCTTCTGCTGTTGTAACACCGTAAATGTCCCCGTTGTGGGACAAATAAAGGAATTCTGATTCTGATTCGACCAATGGTAGAGGAGCCATATAGTGTTTACTCTTGCTTACATACAGCAGGGTTTGTGTCCCTGATATAAAAAGAGACAACATGTTTATACATGACAGTAGATATATTTTACTGACAGGTTTGCATGAGGCAAAATAAATCTTGCGTGAAAAATCTGTCAGTATTTAACTCGCAGACAATGTAATAAATTCCTCAGTGCAAGTGAGAGCTCTCTGTTATCTTGTCTGTCAGTCTTTGGCTTTCTGTCTTTCACTGTCTTCATTAAATAATGACAGAAGGCGATGTGAGAGGAGGTTAATTGGCAAGGGAAAGGGTAACACCCATAGAAGATGTTCTGTCTGGAACACAGCGCTGGCATTTGGACGCAAGTAGAGCTGCATGCCATCAGGCTGAAAGGTTGCCCCCCATTATACGCTCTCAGCTGTACCATGCTGCGATTTCAATGGGGCAGGATGGGTTGGAGAAAATGAAGGAGCCACAAGTGATGGCGGTGACAGTGAGGCACCCTGGGACACCGCGGAGACATCACTACACATTATGGAGTCAGGGGGAGTGGAGGACATGTCCTGGGGGAGATGTGTGTAAAGTGTCAGATAAATAAGTTACAATTTCTTTGCAGAGTGTCTCCCCTTTTAAAATGCTTTCATCACACTCCTTATCACTTCGCTGCCTTTTTTCAGTTGGTTGGGCATTCATGGTCCCCAGATTATAAACCCTACAACTAGTGACTTTGATTTAGATCTCTAGATGTATATACACCCCCTAACACCATGTTCTAGTATGCTTGGTGATTCCTTAAAGGGACAGACAACACCAACATTAAAAATAGATTGTTTATGTGTGAGTGTTAGAACTAGATGACACTTGGGTGTTCAAAGCCCAGAAAATACATCAACAGGTCAAAAATGTAAATTGTTCATTTATTTGGATTTTGACACAGTTTTGAGTCAGTTTTTGTACTTTGTGTTTAGTGCAAATAAGCAAAATACTGTGTTACTAAACAGGTTAGCATTGTGCCAAAATTAGCATTAAGCTAAAAGCAGTATACAGAGCCACTAGCAGGACAAAAGGAAAGCCTGTTTTATTTGCCTCTTCTCTTTCCCTGTCTACTTGTGTTTCTATCCAAACTCTCTGTGTAAATCCGAGCCCATCCTCTCAGTAAATGAGACATTAGAAATGCCATTGTTCTATGATTGATTCATGGTGGGAGCTGGTTTACATTATATTTCCCCATTTGGAAACAGCTTTGTCACTGGCATTCTGTTTTAATTGAGATAATGAATTTTCTGTGGTTCTTCATTACTATTGGTTTCTAGCGCATAATTGCATTTCACCTCAGTCAATTAGCTAATTGAGTTATTCTTCTGTCAGTGTGTATGAGAGGCATGAGTGAACGAGGAGAGAGAAACGGACGGAATATAAACAAGGGAAGACAGATGAATAAACAGAACAAATGATATTCTGACGGAGAACCAAACACGATAAGAGAATGGAGGAAGAGACAGAGAAAACATAATAAACAGAGCAGAAGACAAATAGAGAAGCCGGGAGAGAGTGGCATATTTTTATTTGCATAAGATGCTGAAATCGATTTTCCAACTTAATTTAATTGTGGGGAACAGTCTGGATGAATCTATTAAAGTTGTTCTGCATCGACCTCAGTGTTCCCTGAGTGATTGTGCAGAGGGAGAGCAGAACTACAGAATGAGCATCTGTCTGCATGCGAGAGACAAAAATTACAGGTGCCTTCTGTCGTAGCGCTATGAGTTGTGAGTGCAATAAAATGTAACCTTATTTTTATTACCTGAACTTATGCAGGGCATTTTGATTGAATAAAGATCCAAACACTGTTGGACACTGATTCAATTTAAATGATTCATCTGTCTGTTTGGAGATTGAGTAGATATGATTTCTTACCATGTTGTTCCCGTAACTCTGCAGTCAGGCAATTCCATTGGTGCCATTTTTGGCATCTTGTGCCAGAGTAAATTGAAATTGAAATCCATATATTATAAATAAACTTTCTTGGATCTTCCAATCTTCCTGCTTACTTCCTGTGACTCATTATAGATTTTGGTGGTATGATATTGGCATTTTTATATCAACAACCCACTAGCTAGAACAAAATAAACCCTATTTGTCCATCATTTATAAACCACCGTACCTTTGGTTTAGTCAGTATGAGCACTATTGCACAAAACTAGACCACTAGAACAAGACTTCTGCTAAATATCAGCATGTTAGCTTTGCCACAGTTAGCATCTTAGCATGGCTGTAGACTTCCTTATGATTACTGTCTGTCCTGTTACTGATCCTGGTTAATTACATGATTTTTCTCCTACATATAGAGGAGTTTCAATGTCAGGGTTGGATGAATACCAATATTAAAACTGGCAAGTCAGTGAGAAATATGTTTTTCATTCAGCCACAGATTATAGGCCTGATCCTTGTTTAGCTCCAAAGCATCCAGTTTATAATTCTCAAATGACACTGAATTACCTACAAACTAACCTACATCACTTGAGCTGATTATATCCACTAATTAATGACTCCTAATTCCCTTGAATGTAACTCTACACAAAACTGCTGAGTCACTCACCTCGTAGGTTGCGTATGAAGTCCTCCAGCATCATCTTGCGGTCGGGCTTGATGTTTGGACTGTACATGTCCGTGTTGAGCAGGATGATGGCGAAGGCCAGGATGAAGATGGTGTCCGGGTTGTGAAACTGCTGCACCACGTCGGGGTTACACATGCAGTAGCGCTGACTGTTGGTGGAAAGAAAGAGGAGCATTTAATAACAGAGGACACAAACATGGAGGAATGACAGAGAGAAACAGGAAGATAGGGTGTTGAAAATAATCAGTGAGGCCAGTTAGAAAAACAAAATAGGATTTAAAAAGACAGGAGAAGAGACAGATAATACGTTATTCCAGACACTGAAGGCATCCTTCAACGCACTACAAATACATGTAATCTTGTACAATTCTGAAGTACTTGTACTTTACTTCAGTACTTCCATTTGAGGTAACTTTGTACTTCTACCCCAGTACAATTCAGACGTAAATCGTGTACTTTTACATCACTACATTAACGTAGTACCTTTAGTTACTTTGCAGATATGGATTAATGATAAGAAATACGATCAATAAATGCACATGCTACCCATCAGTAGATAAAATAATTAAAATGAGTTCCTTTACAAGCTTGATAAACACATTAATACATATCTATAATGACAACATATAATATATATGATTCTGAAATCGGCTGCTCTGCATAGCGAGTATTTTTACTTTTGAGTATATTTACATGCCAATACTTTTGTTTTTTTACATGAGTAACATTTTGAATGCAGGACTTTTACTATTTTACTTGACGTTTTAATTTAGCTTGTGGTTTATCTGAAGCTGGCTCTTAGAGCAGAGAAACACTGAGAGGCTCATTGTTGCTAACATTGTCACTCTGTATAAACACATTTGTCCCAGTGGATCGGATGCTAACACGGATTGTGCACAACCCAAGAAAACATCAAACACAAGACTTATTCACAGTCTTGGTTTTCCACTGAGCCATATTTAAACGTTCTCCAAAATGTATGGGCCTGCTTGCTGGATTTATAGGTTGTAGAGAAGACAGATGAAGTTTGAAATATGAAATCCCCTTACCTAGGCATTTTCTGCAAAAATAATGTGACAGAGGCCAGGCTCGGTTAGATGTAGTTCCAGAAAAACACCACTCAATATAAGTGGGTGGAGAATGGAAATGCCTCTGCCTCGTGTGAAAACCATGAATCTAACAGATTTGTAGACACCTACTCTGGGTGCATATGTGTGTGTGTGTGTGTGTGTGTGTGTGTGTGTGTGTGTGTGTGTGGTGTGTGTGTGTGTGTGTGTGTGTGTGTGTGTGTGTGTGTGTGTGTGTGTGTGTTTAAAAAAATAAGAGCCCACGGGAGTGAGACACATTGATTCTCTGTGAAGTGCATGGACCCTTTGGTGAGAGCATGAATAATACAATAGTACAACACCTACCGGGTGTGAGTAATCAGAGACAGCACTATACATACAGGAGAATGAAAAGGTGTGTGTGTGTGTGTGTGTGTGTGTGGGCATGGTGTATACTATAATCGTTATCTTAATCAGTCATCATTTCCATTGCATACATTAAGTTCATACCTTGTTGCACACACACACTTTATAATGTACTTTACAACACTGCTCAAGCTTGGCAAATGGATAAAAAAAACAATGCTTGTGTTTGTGAACATGTGCCGGTTTTATATACGTCTCAATAAGTGGGTGATTTCCAATTTCTCTCCTCACTTTTTATAGCTCGAGGTTGATTAGATCACTTTACTTTTTATAATGCACTCAAAGCATTTAAGCTTTACAAGCAGTAGAAGAGAATGATTTGATTTTTAGAGACTTTTTGTCCCCGCTATGCCTCTAAGGCAACAATTGTGAGGAAGAACAGACACGACTCAGGACTGAGAAGAGCCCATCAACTACTCTGCCATTTCTGGTAATAAAAAAGGAGGAACAAATCATTGAACTTGTTTAATTTACAGAAAATTCACTTAAAAAATAACTGATTATCACAGTAAGAGATGTCCGTTAAAGAGAGTGCTCAATGTAGCAGAAATAAAACACAGTTTATTGAGTTTAAAGTTATGTTTTGTCATTAAAAAACATAAATACAGGACTGCACACTTTCCTAAGAGAAATGGGTAACACTTTATATTAAGGTACACAAATTCACCATCAACTAGTTGTTAATTAACATGCATATTAGCAGTATATTGGCTCTTTATTAGTCATTATAAAACACTTATTAATGCCTTATTCTACATGACCATATTCTACAAGTAATAAGCCATTAGTTGAGAGTATTTCCTCAATAACCCTCTAATTAGTGCTTATTTATTGCAAGTAAGAAAGTTGTTGTACATGAGTTTGGGTCTTAATATGCTCTGCTCAATATGGGCCTAATAAGGCAGTAGTACCACAAGAAGAGTAATTCTCCCATAATAACACTTAACAAATATGATCTATTCTTATGTAACAAGACATGAAACTATAAGTGTTCATTGTGTCTAAATAACAAAAAAATAGGTATTTCAATCTAAGAATATGTTTTGGGGTATTGACAGTTCAGCTACCAATAGCAAGGTGATATTGACCTGTATGTTTCATATTTGCACATTTATATTTTTGTAAAATGTGTACTGAAGGTTAGACAGGAAACCGGGTACAGGAAGTAGGAGAAAGTGAACTGAATAGCAGCAGTAGACATTCATGAGTAGACTGCTACTAATTTAGTTGGAATGCTGATACAGCATTCCAACTATCTGTTCTTGGTTATGAACAAGACTTCACTTTAAAATAGGGAACATGTTCTTAGATATACATACCTAATTTTGAGTTATGTAGACACAATTAACACTTATAGTTTCATGTCTTGCTACATAAGAATAGATCATATTAAGACCAAAACTCATGTACAACAACTTCCTTACTTGCAACAAATAAGCACTAATTAGAGGGTTATTGAGGAAAAACTCTCAACTAATGGCTTATTACTTGAAGAATATGGTCATGTAGAATAAGGCATTAAATTATCTTGCTAATATGCATGTTAATTAACAACTAGTTGATGGTTAATTTGTGTACCTTAATATGTTATCGTCTTAAAGTGTTATCGAGAAATCTATTGATTAGAGATTTTATAATAGATTATTTGAGTATTCTTTAAATATAAAATTGGCAAGTGTATTACGATGCCACATGTGGCTTTTTTATTTATACTGACATTATTATGGAAAGCATAAAAAATGAATGCAATTACAACTTCTTCATTTATAAATAAACATAATTTAAAAAATAACCTTTATATTACATATATTCTTGTGTTTTTCAACCTCTTTCTGTACCTTAAGCTGCAGTGATCTCATGTGTGTTTGTGGCATCCTTTATTTGTTTATCCTGGTAATGACAGTGCTTCACACAGATGCTAAGTGTCGGAAAACCCATCAGTAACCAGCAATTACGTCTTTGTCTGTAGATCATTATGGTCTGTAGCACCATGCAGTGAAAAACCTTCATTTGGGCTGCTTTCTGTCTAAAGTGTGCTCTTAGTCATTTTTCCACATCCTTGTGTGCAAAGTTAAAACAAAAACAAGAGGGTAAAAAGGAACACGATGCTGCTCACAGAGTGGATTTGGCAGCCTTCAAATTTGGCATTTGCTGCCGTCTTCCAAAACACTTTTTCCTTGTTACTGAGCGCTAAAGATGGTGTAACCAGACAGCCACTGTGTACTCTGCAAGGACGGATTATTGTGCAAGACTTATACAAGTATCATGATCTTAATCTTTTATAACCATCAGAGAAAACAGCTATCGTAGGTGACTGAAGAGGTGGGAGAAGTACTCAGATCTTGTACTTAATTAAAAGTAGAAGAACCAGAGTGTAGGAATACTCTGTTACAAGTAAAAGTCCTGCATTCAAAATGTTACTGAAGTAAAAGTAGAAAAGTATTAGCATAAAAATGTACTTAAAGTACCAAAAGTAAAAGTAGTCATTGTGCAGATTGGTCCATTTCAGAATAATATATATGATATGTTTTATAATGATTGATCATGAAAGTGTTCTCAAAGCTGGTAAAGGTGCAGCTAGTTTGAATGACTTTGTATACTGCAGGGTAGCTTGTGGATTTACTCCAGGTGGAACTAAAGTCTGATTCAACACTTGATTATATTTCACATCATTCATCCACATCTGTAAAGTAACTAAAGGTACACGGAAAAAACGTAACGTTGACTATAATAAATGTTTTATTTCGATAGATTTCACATAACTGTATTAGATTAGTTGAAAGCAAAAATATTAAGTTTGAATAAAACATACTACCCTAACGTAACAACTAATCTAATTCAGTAATGTGAAATTAGTTGACATAATACATTTAATTAAAGTCAACGTTTCAGTGTACTAAATAAATGAAGTGGAGTAAAAGTACATGATTTAGCTCTGAAAAGTATTAGAGTAGAAGTACAAAGTAGCACATACTTAAATACTAAAATAAAGTACCTCAAAATTGTACTTAAGTACAGTACTTGAGTAAATATACTTTGTTACTTTACACCCCTGCTGCGTGTGTGTATGATCAATCAATCAATCAATCAATGTTTATTAATATAGCCCAATATCACAAATGTTACATTTGTCTCAGTGGACTTCACAGTTTGTACAGAATATCAGTATGACAATACGACACCCTCTGTCCTTAGTGTGTATGAGGATGTGTGTGTACTACACTGTGATGCAGGCATGAACATATGAACAGAGGTTTAACTGCAGCACTGGGATCATAGTTGCTCATTCATTAGCACACTGACACAGCAGATACTGAGACTGCTCCTCACTTTCCCCCTCTCTTTTCACTGCTGCTTCAAATCCTCTTCACTTACTTCGGAGATTTCTCTGTGTGTGTGTGTGTGTGTGTGTGTGTGTGTGTGTGTGTGTGTGTGTGTGTGTGTGTGTGTGTGTGTGTGTGTGTGTGTGTGTGTGTGTGTGTGTGGTGTTTGGAGGCATATCAAAGCCCAGGAGAAAGGGAGGCAGGCGCAGAGAGGCAGTGGCGGTTACGCAACGCTGGTTATTTATAAACCTTCCTCCCTCTCTCCTTTTCTCCCCTTCCCCCCTCACTATCTCTCCCCCCTAATAACATGCCTGATGTCCAAACATTAGCAGTGCCAGCCTCTCTGCCCGCTGA